AGATGTGTATAAGAGACGTAGTCAGCATGAGTGCCTACTGAACGGGACCTTATTTAAAGAATTATTGGCTGAAATTCATAAAGTAACAACATTTGGCGAATTTTTCCAAAAGTCATAACAGAAGCACAACATAAGATCTAATAAGCACGAACGTAACACCTCTGGCTAGAGGCGGGAAAATGATGCATTGTGAAAAAAAAGTCATGCTAATCAAAACTGGCACCACGTAGATCAAGGGTAGGTTGCACTTGAACTTGAGTGCTCTGGCAATATTATCAGCATTAGCCGTGGTTTTGGCTCTGCCCAAAGTATAGAAAGTGAGAAAATATTTGAAATGTTGAATAATCTTTGGAAATATGTAACATTATGTAACCTGTATTTTAGCAACAAGTCAATAGGGAAGTCAAGGCTAAGATAAGATTAGACTTTTCTACTTAGGGGGAGTGTCTGGGTCCAAAATTGACAATTTTCCACTGTGCAGAAATTGGGTGAATATCGTAAGATCTTTGACGATGCGTCAGCAGCAAAATTTATGCCTTCTGATGATCTTGCTGACACATTTGGATTGAAATTAGTGCATATGAGAAATAACTTCAAAATTACTGGAAATCTGAAAGACCGCAAGTGCACACAGTAAGGTTTCTGGTATGCCGGAAGGATCATGATGCAGTGAAGCTTGTCCTGAAATCAGTTGCATTGTGTGTAAGTCTTGCAATGCGTGGATAGTGAAGGATATACTATCAAAGTTGCTTGCAGCACCATCATATTAAAAATTACCCAGCAATGGATCTTGAAAATGCCTGTTGATGCTTTGGGCTAAAAAACCATATCTTGGCAACACTGCTTGAGCCCTTTGCACCCTGGACTATTTTGGCTTTTCTGGTTTTTAGTCTCAACTTAAAGCTGACATCCTGACCTATCCAATAGTACCAAAACCATCTCTGTATATTGATTTATGCGTATATGACGGGTTGCAAAAGGGCAAGGGGTGGTGGAGTTCTTTAACATTTAAGATAGGGAATAATTGCTGCAGTGCAGCTTAAATAACTAGTCTTCACACATTCCACTTCAGTAACCCTTCTGCAATTGTGTGGGAGGATTTGTGCGCCAGTGTTCACACCATCCTTGACAGAAACTGAGCTCATGTATGCAGTATTGTCTTGTCTTGCATCCTTGCAACCTTGAATGCCAATTTTGAGGTGCCCAGGATTTAGTCAGGCTCTACTGAACATTGACACTTATTGTCACTGGAAATGTTTGCAAAAGGGCAAGGGGTGGTGGAGTTCTTTAACATTTAAGTTAGGGAATAATTGCCGCAGTGCAGCTTAAATAGCTAGTCTTCACACGTTCCGCTCCAGTAACCCTTCTGTAGTCCTGTTTGAGTGTTTGCGCGCCATTGTTTACACCATCTTTGACAGAAACTAAGCTCCAGTATGCAGTATCATCTTGTCTTGCATCCTTGCAACCTTGAATGCTGATTTCAAGGTGCCCAGGATTTAGTCGGGCTCTACTGAACATTGACACTTATTGTCTCTGGAAATGTATCTCCTACAGTTTTGAAGCTACAGCAATGAGAGATATACCATTCGATTCGCAAATAAAAGATCTAGAGATTGGGCTTAGTTTTTTTTTTAATTTCATTATAGATTTGAAAATATTTCAAAAATTTTTCAAATTTTTTAAAAAAATGCTCCCACCCACAAATATTTTAATTTTGAAATAAGCTAAGATGAATTGATAGATATGGTTCTTACGCATAATATGATATGCGTTTCGATGTTGTAGCTTAGAATTCCTCAGAGTAGATAGTTTTCTACAGTACCCCCTTTTTTGCCGTTTTCTAAGAATTTCATGTTTTCCTTAATTTTTTCCGAAAATTTCATTCAGACAAAAAAATCTTAGATTTCTGTTTTACATATGTGTACCAAGTTTCAAAGTGATCCGTCCCTAAATGAAAAAGTTTTTCTGGGACCAAGACTCTCCCCTTAATAATATTACTGGTACTTTGCTACTCCAAAGTGACATATTTTAAATAAATTTGGAAACTCGTAGCATAATTGTAAACTTTTAATATTAAAATTGGATATAAGGCAATTCAAATATTGCTTGTATGGAAAGCATCTATTCTCAATGTCAAAACTGCACTTCAGGAGAAATAAATGAAGGAAATGTTAGTTGATCTGGTGCTACAATTTTTTCCTGATGTAGTAGTGTAACCCAGCTTGACAGGTTATTTATCTATCCCAGTTGCCTGGTCAACCAGGCAACTGGGATAAACTTGGTGTTTCAAGTGAAGTTTTTAACCTTGATTTAATCCTAATTATGCTCCTTTAAAAGCCAATTACCACACCCACTTGAACTTTTTGGAGTCTAGTTGGTATAGAGTTGAATTTGTTTGCAATTCTTTTGTTTCATTCTCAGTTTTAATCATGGCAAACTTTGACTTAACAAGCTCCATGGAGGCACTCTTTTATTTAGAAAAAACGCAAGTTAAATATTCTCATGTTGACATGAATCCAAGGTAAGCTCTCATTATATTTCTGAAATTATCTTGCTTCAACCCACTGATAACTGATACCAAATCATTTTGATATTTTCATGTTTGAGTTAGCAACTTGAGCTACAAATTGCTACAGTAATAGCCAATAATGCCAGTATCACTGCAATATGGTTGTGTGTTGAAGTAAATTTGAGTAGAAGTAATATGTACAAAAATATACCACCTCACATCTATCATAAATACACTGTGAAGTTTATTTTAAGTCAATAATGTTAGTCAACTTATTATTCTCAGATAGGTAGTTATCTGCAATTATTATTTGATAGATTTACATAGCCAGGTGTACAGTTTGAATTTACATAATTTGTTGAATTGAGCATTCACGAATAACAAGTGCCATAGTCATTGCTTGCAGTATACAGTACTTGCAATTGCATTGCAGTTATGTAGTAATAGATTGATTTATTCAGCCATGTTAGGAAATGTGGGATTTAATGGACAAAATTAAATGAAACTTTATGATGCTCCACACAGCTAATTTCTTAACCCAAATACACTTCATAGCTTAAATTTAACCGATAGTTTGTGGCGATGATCAACTCGAATTGTTTTTATAGCCAAAATACTGCATTGTTTTGTCAGCAAATTACTTTTATTCATATGTATCTAGTGTTCATATTTTGTTGACAATTTTAAATAAATATATCAAACCATTTAATTGTAAATTGTTCACTTGAGACTCTCTTTGATTGTTTAGGATCAATACATACCTTATATATACCTAATAATACTGGTGAACTGAATTTAAAGATGTGTGTAACTCTAGAAGACACATCCATTTGATACCTAAAATAATGTCATGAAACTTTCGAATTCAACATGAATGTTACTTTTTCAGTGAATGGACTTTGAAGAAGCCTGTAAGCCCTCAGTGAGTCAAATATCACTGGTGTTTTTTTCTAAAATTTTAGTTTTGACCCTTTCATTCAAATATTTGTGCTTAGAACTCACAGTTATTGGTCTCCTTGGTTCTTTACTAATTTGAACCAATGGCCATTTGTGTGGTTTGTTCCATACTAATCATAACCTGTGTTATGCTTTTGATCTTAGTATGTTCCTGTCCCAGTGTGGATGAATTCAATAAATGTTTCTAGTAGGCAAGTCATTCTAGCTTGTTTATATGTATATTTTGCAACACTGCAAAATAAGTCTGGACCATCTGACTAGTCAAATTAGCTGTAACCTGGGCATCAATTTAACAATAGATTTCTGTCATTTTCATGTATATTTTGTGTGATTTCTAACGAGTGCAAATGTTCTCAAGCTGTCAAACTGGTATGTTATGATTGGTGTTGATTTGCAAGAGAAACTCCAGGTTAAATTGAATTTCATGATAATTTCTTACTAGTTTCTATAATCCAACACATGTGTGTTCATTTTTATGGTCATGATACTAAACTTTTGAAACATTCCACTCATTTTATATTAGGTACTTATTTGTTTCTACAGATTAGCCTTTCAAATTTTCCACATTACTCTTGTAATGCAAAATTTTTATATACAAATGATCATTTTTTTCAAGCTTTCATTTATATGATAATTATTGCATCTAAAATGATACAGAGCTGAATATTTTAACAAAAATCACTTTAAAAATACTGATGAATAATTTAATCTACAGCTTCTGTTTCTCCTCGATTTCTCTAGCGTCTTGAACAAGAGCCGCTTGAGAAAATGCATCTTCTGCCACCTGCTGCTTGCTCTGCTGATGCTCACCAAGCTCATGCCCGACATCTTTGACAGGCTAGACATCTTTATATTGGAAATTGAAGAACTGGAAGTTCCTGTGGTGAGTGGCATCTCCAATTTAATTCATCCAGTGTGAAAAAAGTAATTTATACTCTCTTACTAATGTTAGCCTTGCTCAAGAAGCTGTCAGAGAATAAAAATGATGTAAAAATCAGTCTGGGCTGAAATTTCCACTCTGAAAATTTCTTAAATTTTTCAGCATTGTGCTCTCAACCCAAAAGCATTGATCCCTGAATATTTTATAAAAAATAATACCCTTTGCTTCTGGCTCTGAATGTTCTGTCCTGTAGAAAGAATTGTATAACCCAACTGACATGTGGGGCTGTGGGCTTATTATGCATGCTGCTAGTGCTAGATATGACCATGTGCTGCTATAAGGTGGATGGTAATACGTAGGTGACAAGATATGCACTGATTTTGAGTCAGGCAATTCTTATCTGATATCTTTTAGTGACCTTGATGATTAAAAAATCTTTTCAAAGTACATCGAAATTGTTAAAAAATTAATAAATTGTTTAATTGCTTTGATTGATTTATATTCTAAAACTTGATTACACCTACATTATATTTTGGTACAGTAGGTACCTCTGCCTAAATTGGCAGTTTCTGGAATATCAGTTGACAGTACATTATTACAGTCAACTAATCACACCGTAGTTACTCCTTTTCTTGTTTATATTTGTCTTGTTGACGTCGGATTAAGTGTTAAATTATGTGCAGATTCAACAAATCCGGATATGATAGCGTCTTGCAATGCGAGCCTAAATTTGCTGTAAATGTAATCCTTTTTCACCATTTCCCTGTCTATAAGTAATCAATTCAGAGCAATCAAATTCAAAGAAACAGACTATATGAAATGGAGGTTTACGGATCACTAATATAGATACAAACTTAGTGTGAGATATTTGATTGAAAATTTTTATAATGTTAGTGTTCATAATGTATCATTTTCACCACATTGAAATGCGTATAATTTATTGCAATAATATTTCCTAAAAAGTCTTGAATTATATATTTTATTTTTTATATGGGATATATGTTCCAGCTAGGCATGTATTTTCTCACAAAGCTAGGCATATCTAGCTACTTTTTTAAATGTATGATAAGTACCGTTAGTATTATGTAGCTATGATTTGCCAATTAATCATCTTTTGTGTGCCTGTTTTACCTTAATTTATTTCCCACTAATTTGTTTTGTTTATTTCAGCCGCACAAATGGGAGTACATTTGGCTTCTGGGCTCCATAGCAAGCTTCCTTGGACTCTCTGCCATCAAGAAAAACAGGAGCATCTTATTGCAGGTGCATTGTCACATCTTTAACTTTGAGCATAACGTAATATTAGTCAAAAAGTGTCAAAGTTCATGGGTATCTTATTGAATGCTTCTTTGAAAATGTTAATTACATGTCAATATACAACCTAGGTTTTCTTAGTTTATTTTTTCTATTGATTGGAGCGAAAGAATTTTTACACTAAAATCTGCTGGGAATTTTTAGTCATTCATGTACTGAATGTGAATATTTAGCCATGTCAACTATTGACCTACCATGATTCAAGAAGGCTTGATCATTAAATTTTATTTTCAAGCATGATATTATTGATATATGTTCATAAATTTATTATGAACAATTGAAAAGTAGAATCGTATGTTTTGATTAATGTAATTATCTCTCCTGATTATTCTAAATTTTTTGATGAGAAATATTTTCAAAACTTGCATGCTTTTTACACAATATCCTTTAGCATGATTTTTTTTAGTATCATTTAACTTTAACGATGGTGTACAATGCATTTTCTGACACATTGCTTCTTTAGGTCTATTTTGTGTTGATCAATCTTCTGTCGACGGTTCCTGTGCTTCTGGCAACAATGATAAATTTCTCCGAATTTTGGACATTCTGCACTGCAGATGACGTCGATAAAGTGGCCATGTGGCAGGTGAGTGGCACTCAGAAAAATAACTGGAGCTTTTTCTGAGGACAAATAATGTGTACCTTCCTGCCAATAACGTCGCCGATTCACCTAAGCTTCACTAGAAACGATCTATTTTTTGTACAAACTGAATCTCATCTCTCAAGCGTAACTCTTTTGAAACCCTACAACTTGTAGTTCTGACCAGTATTACATGTATGATTTTTAACAGTGACAAATGGCGAAGCAAGTACAGTATTTGCTGAGTGGCGACTTATGTGGCATTCAGGTGTATAGTATTCAGTAAGATTTATTACTTTCCATTTATACAATCCTCAGGGGGGTGTACTCCCAATCTAGCTCGAATGTCAATCTGTTTTCTTAAGAAATAGTGTTTTCCTCAGCTTCCCATGCCAATGTTTCATTTAAATACGTATATAAAAAAATAACATATTTCTTTCACCCTAACCCAACCTACTTAATCAAATTTGGTAAAAAAAATATTTGAAGACTTTTCTTACGATTCATAAGTAACAAAATTAATCACCAGTCCTTGAACTAACTACCAAGGGATGCACCTAACAGATGAGGTTGAAGTAACTCGTTATTTTACAGGGATACCCCGTGCCTGGACTCTGATACATATTCCTGCTGCTGGCTCTTATCATTCATTAGTAACATCAATAAATCACAAGTTAATCATCAAATTGACATGTCATAACCAAGGCAATTATCGTAAACTGACGGATGAGGTTGAAGTAACTCGTTATTTTGCAGGGATACCCCGTGTCTGGACTCTGGTACATATTCCTGCTGCTGGCCATGCAGGTGCACGTCTTCACGCTTCTTTTCGCTTGGAGACTCATCGTAGTTTGGAAAGATAGAAGCACCAAAAAACAACAGTGATCTGTGGACAAACTAATAATTATTCACATACAATATACATTGATATCAGGTGGAAAATTTCAGACTCACATTTTGGAAAGATCTTGCTTGCTACCAACGGCATTCGTATTATGTTATCTGATTTTTATCAGATGTCAATTTAAATGATGGTTAGTATAAGAAAAACTGGGGTTGATCCTGTAAACACGAGATTTCCTAATTGAGCCCCAGAAGGCACGTTTTGTAATGTCAAGATAACTGGTAGTAGGTACTGGTTTTCTACTGAAATATTTGGTCTTTGTTTTCAGGAGATAAAATCATCGTTTCTGATGCCGTGCTTTTTCAATCGTTATTCACGCAACCGGTCGTCACCAGTAATGTGGTTATAGGAAAATTTTTACTATGTTATGAAACACACCGTAGTTGCTCCTTTTCTTGTTTATATTTATGTCTTGTTGACGTCGGATTCGGTGTTAAATTATGTGCAGAATCAACAAATCCGGATATGATAGCGTCTTGCAATGCGAGCCTAAATTTGCTGTAAATGAAATCCTTTTCCACCATTTCAATATTGTTTCAAAGTCTTTCCTTCATTGGATGTTTTACGGTACCTCAATGCCTTCTCATCCTTAATAGTGGTGTTCGTGATTCGCAACATGTTGTTATGAGATGTTTGTTGGTTTAATCAACGCGGATATTTTTATCTGTGGCTTGTGTTAGATATAGTTTTGATGTCTGTTTTTTTTTTTTGTTTGTCCGAGTCCATAAGACAGCTACGTTACTGCCACAGACACACTCATGTCTTGAGTGCCGTGATTTGCTTTTATTCTTAGAATTTATTATGATGCCGATTGTTAATTCTCAGATAATTATTTTCACTGTTCATTTTTAGGTGCAGTCCATACGTAATGACTTAAGAGTTTGAGAAGGCTCGTTAGCTTTGACATCAAGTGCATGTATGATAACTTTATTATTTCTGTTGAATTTACCTCATCTATATGCCCCTTTTAGTGCATGTAACAAATCACATTGAATGGAAATAGTTTTCAGTTTATTTTTACTTCTCAATATTTCTTTCTTTTGAAGTCCGTCCCAAAAGTGGTCTATGATGAGGCTCTATGTGGCTTTGAAATAAATTAGTAGAATTATCTTTGGCAGAGTTTTATTTTTAGAATTGGCGACAAGGGGTAAGTTGCTGTTCTGGTTATGCACAGCTAAAGGGCTGTCGACTTACGGGAATGTTTGTCATTTAGAAAAGATGTCGTTTAGATGATTTAAAGTCGTTCTATTTGCTCATTCTCACGTGCTGAAATACTCTTGTTATTATTTAGTTTACTTTCATGAAGAGCTTGGTCACTGTGTCCATTATAACCGTTATAGGAATTTATTTAGGTACAAGTATGATAAATTGAATATGAATACTTCTCCGTGTCTTTATGCAGCTACGAATTCTTTTTTTTCTATAGTAATAGTTTAAAATTTTGCACTTGTTATGCAGTATATTCATGTACATGTGAGCTGCGCAAATCGTTATTTCATAGCGGCAGTTTCTTGGATCTGGAATGTTGTTTTTCGTCTACTATTTATCTCTACTCGTTATTATTATTAATCACTTAGTGTCTTTCAAATTTTAATGGATGTGTCGATGGAGATGATGTTTTTTACCCTTCATGAAGTCTTTTATTGTTGTAGCCGCTACCTTATTGTGGTGTTGTAGTTTCATGTCTAATAGTTCAGAATTTATAACTATTTCTCTCTATCCTTACAGAAACATTGTTGCTCATTCTTTCTACCGAAGGTATAATAAATGTTGTGGCCAAATTTTTATTAGGTAGATAGCTAGTTGAAAACTGTATCTGATTTAGAGGCTAGGTTAAGCTTGCTTCGATTAATTGATGATAAAATAATTTATATTGAACTTATAGTCAGGTTATGCTCCTTTTTGCCAAAGTGACTATTGCACTAACTCGTTCATGTTTTTGTAATTTTCTCTTGTCCCGATGAAATGTTTAAATTCTACGTCTGTACTATGTACATTTTTTTTTTTTTTTAATCTTAACGGTGTGAATGCAGAGTTCAACTTTTTGGCCGCCTTTTATGGTCTTCGTCTCAACTAGTACATTTAATTCTCACTTACGTCCAATACTTACCAACCCTTCATTTAACCGTCCCTAATGCTATTGGCCAGGATTAGGCGAATGATAATAGCCTTAATGTGCTTAACACGGGGCGCGTAGTGGCGTCGATTTATCAAGTCGACTACTCAAATTCCCTGTTTTGCCGGCTGAGATCCTATACACGTGAGTGTTTACAGTACTGTCCGCCCGCGCCAGTGCGACGTTGGGAGTTGTAGAGAGAGGAGTGTGCATGGTGGAAGCATGCGAGAGCGACGCAGTAGTGCACACTGCACACTACGGCGGTACTGGGCTTACTTGCCTGGCTCAAAAGAACCTGAGGAGCTTTGGGTGCAATGCACCAGCTAGTCGCCTATGAAGATGTTAATCATCACAATATACGAGTCGACGCGACTATTCGCCCCCATGCATAAGCACCTTGAGCCAGGGTATTTCCTGGGCTTGCACCAGCTACGATAGTGGAAGCGTCTAACGGATTAGGGTTTTGCCAACCGTAATTTGATTGATTTATGACTTCATGTGAGACCATGTGCATACCCGGTTGTCTTATTCATCAAATCTTGGTCGGTGTATTGCAAAGTAAATTGTCACCTATTCATTCGTCTCTGCAGCAATAAATGTTTGTCAATTATCTTACCATTTCCTCGTGTATCAGTGGCGTAAGGAATTTGAACAGAATTCACTTAGGATTTATTTTCAACGAAGTAAAGGCCAGGTACAATACATACACAAAGTTGGAACTGTAAAAGACACTCAACGGTTTTATGACACTGTAGACGAGAGGTTCGAGTTAGATAAGTTATGACTGCAAGGCGACATTCGCCTTGCGTTGTTCAACAGTTCAGTTTCCATTTACTGTCTTGCTGACCATGTCTTTGGTAGCTTTTGAAATTAAATCGAATTAGTCGGAGAAAGTTTTGGAAGAGGGCATTGGATCACCACTGATAATTTAAAGTCTGAATAAGGCCTAATTAGGAATCCGAGAAGCGTATAAAATTTGATATGGTAAGTGCAAGTTATTCCAACAAAGGGTTTTCGACACGACATGAGGCATGTGGCCACGAGCACTACACCAGACAACAGGTGCGCCACTTAACGATGAACACGACGTCTGATTTAATACCATTCAACAATATAATAACGTTGTACCACAGCGATAATGAAGAGAGAACACACAAAATATTTCAAACGTCTAATCAAAGTATTGTTCAAATTGGAAAATATCTTGCTGACCAAGCTAGTGAGCTAAGCAAATTGGATATTAATGTATGCAACGCAATTCGCGAGTCTTCAAATGTTGATATGAATTTTTTTTACTTGTGATACATCATCACACTAGAATAATTTCAACGCGATTTCGTCGATGAGAATCTTAGTGAAGATTTTTATCAAACGTCTTCAATGCTCGTTTTCACAACCGGCCTCTTGCACCACGAAGCGCAATTATAAAAATTCCAGACACACCTACAGGATTTCTCACAGAGAAGCACAGACAATCCAGAATTATTGACTAAACTACTATAGTGGAATGTTGTTAGTGAAAACATCAATTACTTAGTTTAGAAGTGAGCTCTTTGAGTACCTGTATATGATACGAAGCCCACTTCACCCACGTTACAATACGGTCAGTTGTCATGATGTACCGATAAATACTGCACATTAATCGATTAATAGTTTCGTTACGAATTCGAACAACAATATCCCCCATGGAAATTAATATACACTTGACCTGAGTGGAAAAATATCTGAATATCATCTGAACAGTAAGAATTTAACCAAGTTTAATTGAGAAATCATTCATGAGTAGAAGCTCTTAGTCTTCTTAGAATTCATAGCTAGTATATATATAGTGCAGAGTAAATGTTGGGCGTACAGACCAACTGGTAGGTTGCAAAATTAATAGAAACGTAATGGCCAAAAACCATAGTTAGAAAAACACGTAATAAGAAGATATTACATCATATGAAGACCATCGATTTAACCACATATACATAACATTTACATATCGACAAGCATTTGAGGCTACAGAAGACACGGCCTTCAACACACACAGATGCTAATGCATCATCAGGTTCTATTCCAATCGAACACTTCAAGTTTGGAGAGAATATAAATCAATTCTCTTATATATAAAAAGTGTCCATAAGAATCAGAACCTGCATTTAATCAAGTGAAAATGGTTGAAAAGCTCATCCTTCAGAACAAATACACGGACCATTATAAATTCAACATCTACTTCTTGACGGAGTTTCTTTGAAGATGGCCGATAGTTTTCATAATAATGACCAGAAAATATTGTAGTCGAGATGGTGAACGAGCAACAAGGTTAGATTCGAGAGACTTTTGAATATATTGCAGCACGGTCATCTTTACCAATTAATATGCGAGACAAGCGAGAGAAGTAAAGTCAGAAAGGTGAAGCAAGCAATGAATAACCGAGAAGAATTATGGCATTGATGGGGTCAATATTTGAAGTTACTAAAATCCTTCAGTGGCAAATATCTAATAACCAGGACTTGTTGAGGTCACATATTGCTAAGAAGTTTTGCGAACAAATGGCGAAACAGGAGAAAATTCCGATAAAGTTGTGAGGACCATCCGCGAGTTTGAATTTTTCAAGACACAAGTACTAATCTACTGTTAGGCGTCGAACGTAAGTCACATGGTATTCCGTAAAATCACACAAAATAAGGTTTAAACAATCTTTACAAAGTGGTCGCTACGCCTGACATATGAACTACAATATTTACCGTTCTCAGTAATCCAACATCGACAATCTTTAACAATGTGGTCTTTTCTCCGTATCAGATGCAAAACATTATTTTTATCATTTTAGCTAAATTCACCTGTGCTTTCTAAACATCCTAATCAAGACGATTCCATCGTCCCTATTCATTCTACTAAGTTTGACAAATAACACCAACAAATTATAACTTCAACAACTTTGAGATCCACACAATTATGAGGAGGATCAAGTTTGCACGAAGATCAATTGCCGAATTGGCTTCACTGGCAAGTCAGACGTTTATATAAAATATCTGCAGCGATTAACGAGTTAAAATCTGCGTAACAGCGCCAATCTTTCACCAACACAAATCTTTAAAATATTGGACGCAAGTCCAGTGAGAAACATAATTGAGAATAATAAAGAAACAAACTATTACCGCGATGAACATTCAGATATAACGCCAACAAAGCAAAACGTTGGAATAAGAATACATGGTCAATTGACCGTCACAGATGAACTCAAGCAAAGAAAACGAGTGGTAACAATCTCCAAATTCAAAAGAATAAAATATTAAACGTAAGCTGGGACATAAAAGCAAAATCATGAATAAGGTAAGAGATTGGCATTGCACAAGAATACCCTGGCTTAGGTAACAGCCTTCACTGCTAACTCGTAAATAGACTACGCACTAGAACTAAAATATTACACGGGAGAGATGTAAGCAGTTTCGAATCAAGAACAAGCCATTATCGATAAAAAAGTCACATTGTGAGGAATTATATCCTCGTTTACAGTTCGAGAAATAACAAATAGATAACAAGTGTCAGTACTAAGCAAGAGAAATGCATTAATTTTGTATTATTAAGGTAAAAGTATATATTTGAAAACTTTCACTACAAGCAGCAAAATTAACAACGGTAATTCACAAAATGATTCGTAAATAAATGAGCCTCGTTATAAAAATATGAATACAATACATTAAGTATAGACATCGTTATACAATAAGTTGCAATCGATACGGTATATTAAAATTTCATCGCACAGAGTGAATTTTGAGATAGCTCATGCAACTTTACACAACAAATGAACGAGCATTAGAACCATCTTACTAGATTTGCATCGTTCACGTATGCAATGCTATTTCCCAATAGTTTTTTTTCGATTGCATCGACATCGTATCTAAGCGAGTAGCTATCAAGACCCAGGCATCCAGACTCACAGGCAAACCTGAGGGCCACTACAAGAACACAAAATAATCTATGCGAAACGACCAATGCAATACTATATACTTTACAGCAGAATGGCAAGATAAATTTCGTAACAGAATTTTTTTTACCAATGACTTAATGATAAGATTAAATAGACAAACATAAAATATTTAATCCCATACAAAGAGACGCGATAGTCAGGGTGTCATCATCAACCAAAATAACAAACAATTCACGGAAGGAATCATACCGCATATACTAGGAAAATAGTGTGCACGGGTACTACTAAACTCAGCACTAAAATCAGCTCAATTGGAAGAGCCGCAACACGATGACAAGTAACAGCCAGACAAATGACTGAGAACAGAAATTTTACTGCTGAATGAGACATATGATACCTATGACGATAAGCTTCAAGATAATATATGGTCGGTCACAAATAGCGCGACACTAAAAAAAATTACAGTACAACGGGTATTTTTTAGAGGTTGGGATTACATGAATTACTGACCGAGCTCGCAACCGTCGAATACCACAATGATGGGACAATCATAATATCTTTTTCTACGTTTATGATTATGATCGCTCATCACTGTTATTACGGTTATTATGGATCGCTTTCAGGTAATTACTGAACAGATCAACGCTAACACAGCACGCCAAACATTGGAGACAACAACACATCGAAGTCCAGCGGTGTCCTTTACAGCGAAGTCCAGTGCAGCTC